ATGACCACACTTCATTTGACTTGGAAAAGTCTTAAAGGATTTTGTGTTCACGTTAAATGTTTTTTCATGCAAAATGTTACTAATTGGTTTATTTGTACCAAACGTAAAAATAAGAGCATGCTTATGACTTTGTTTTACACGTGTTGGGCTGTATTTGGGAAAAAAAAAAAACAAACCCTCAAAAAGAAAGTCCTAATTTAACTTGATTCAGTGGAATTGTTTTGTTGCATGTCTCGTGAACCAGGACTTACTAGTAGGTACATGTGTAATTCCAGGTTAATGGTCAAGCATCAATTAATTCAACACCCATTGAGCATCCTTCTGTTTTTCCTGACAGACTCATCAAGTACAGTACCAGCAGGATTTTTTAAAGTTAGTCAAATACCCGCATACTTTTCAGTGAAGATCCAACTAGCCTCGCTCAGCAGTCAAGCATGCCCAGTGGTCAAGCATGACTGACCTGACTGACCTTTTCATCTCAGGACTTGTCTGCATTCTATGCAAATGGAGCCAGGTGTTACGTAATCCCGTTGATGTCATGGGCAGCTGTATTATGATTCACAGTCAGCCCGCAGTGTGTGTGTATGAATATCTTTATTGCATGATGGTACTTACAACACCCAGTAACGTTTTTTCATCAATAGAAAAAAAAAGAGAGCATATTCAGTGGAGCGACAATTGGTGCATGGCGTAGCTTATCTGGTGCTAGATAACAGGGCCTGCAAAGGGTACTGCTGTTGAGCAAGATTCTATCCGTCGCAGTTGTGTCTTTGTTGTCAGCAACTCGGAATCTCTTGCCATTCGTGTGTTTTCATGGTGCAGTGAACATTTGCTTCAGAGTTGCCTTGTGATGTATATTTTTGTATGCACAACCATTTTGCTTCATCACTGACGTGTAGAAAATATGTGACAGATTACAAAAAGATCATGATTGTGTCTGTTTCCTTTGATCAGAAATTAAGTAATTGTAATCATTGTTGTTTTTTTCTTGCAGGTTCTGAAAAGTTCTTTGTTTGAACTGTTCACTGGTAGAGCACATACATACATGTAGTTGGTAAGTCTCGCGATGTTTTCAATTTGAAAGGGTTCCGTGGAATTTTAATGTTTCTTTAAACCCTTTAAAATTAGGTATTGATTTAAAATAAAATGGTTTGAGTTAGCACTGTCATCTTTATAAAATGTCAGATTTACTTTTTAGTTTGCTTGTAACTGAAAAGATTGATACATGTGGATCAGAAATGACGTGCTTTACTTGGTGGGTGAAAAAAACCCTGATTGTAATAAACGGGCCTGACTATAGCAACATGCCATCTTTAATTTGCATCATGTGCTTGATGCACCTGTACAGTACAACCATATTTGGAATTCGTATCAATACCCAGTGTTGATTACATTGGATGTGTATTTTAGATATAAAGAATATTATGCATGACATATTTGCATGTACTGATATTTAAATACCGGTACATGAAGTCAGACATCTTTTTGATGGACACACATGCTTTAACAGGTGTAGGCTGCGGGCACATGGCCCAAATTTGATATAACTTGCTAAAATGTTGGACAACAGTAAGTACTCATTACTACATGTGGGGATAGCCTCTCAAGAGGGAATACCTTACAGTTCAAAAATAGTGAGAGGCTCTCCACAGAACTTAACGTAAAGTGTGTTTTCAGAACCTCGACTTAAAACCTTGATTGTGCCTTTCAGCTTTGGTTTTGGTGTCAATTGCATGACATTAAGCTGATCGCTTGAAGGGTGTTTCTCGGCTGACAGCTTCCATATGTAGAAAGTACTCTAAGTCCATTTCCTGCAGCAGAATGATGCCAAACTTTGGGATTTTTCATTTGGTTAAAAAAAAAATTGCCAAAGAAATTGCTTCTTCATAGCATCTGGCCTGAAAGTCAGTAGAGTGTCAGTTGAAATTGAGTACATTGACATGCTCAGTAATAAGGTGAAGGACCTTTAGGAAGTCAAACACTGCATTGGAAGTTACATATAGTCCCCGCGACCCTAACTTTCCAAATATTTCCTGTCAAAGAGACAGGACTGTTTGCAAACTGCATCTGACGAAGAATTTGAAACTGACCTTTCTCTGTTCCCCTGGCTTTTGCACTACTGTGTACCCCTTGAGAAAACCTTGCCGCTCCATTTATTGTGACAAGTTTTGCACATTGTGGACTTGTACTTTAAATTCTTATGCAAATTAATTTTTTTCGAGTTTTTGTGAGTATTGATCCTACATTTTAATCGCACACTTTCATGGAATATCCTTCATTTTTCTCCTATCCACGTAGTGTGCAAACACTGTTCTCAGAGTTGGTATGGTCCCAATGACTTTTACACAAATACATGTAGGTTTGTGCATACATCCATTCACAGTGTCAGCTCTCTGAGGCAAGGTGTCTTTCATTGTCCGAGGTACATGTATGTGTCCCAGAGGGCTGGCAATATGAGGAAATTGGGAATCAGACATTGACACCAACATCGACCATTTACATGTGAACTGATTCATTGATCGGCATAAAAACCGGATAGGAAAACCATAGAAGTAGCACGGACTAAATGCCACCAACCACAATTCATGTCTGGCTGTACAACTCATGTCTCATTTCTCCTCAAGAGTGTTTTTAGTAAATGACACACGAGAAGTTTTGTTCTTGTTTTCACAGAAAAGGCATGGTTTACCCAGTTGTAATTTCCGTACGTGATATTGAGTATTGTGGCTTCATGATGTTTTCTAGGTACATGTACATCTGACATCCACAAAAATTTGTGGCTCTGTTGGCATTTGAAATTAAATCAAGAATACTAATCATCTCAAGGGTGAGTACATGTGAGTATAATCCCTGGTGGACCGTTTGGAGGTTATGACTACAAGGGTTGTGCTGGTGTCAAATTTACAGTCTTGATACATTGGCACAAATAATGCTCATGGTATTTGAAAATTGCCATACAACACAAAAATTACAACCTGCAAAATTTTCGAGGGTTTGCATTCTGCAATCTGTACATGGCTATATTACAGTATTCATTTCGTATCGATACCCCATCTCACTAGATCAGGTCGCACAGAATTGTTGTTTGTCCAGTGCTGTCGGGACAACCCATGATTCAAATCTTTCAAGATGGCAGTTATGGGGGGGGAACATGCAAGTACAGGGGTAACTGATGCAATCAAAGCATTACGTGAGCCTTTTGACTTTGAGTCATAGTGGAGAATTCAAAATATCAGTTTGGGAAAGTTAAACTGTTAGGCTATGCAACAGTCACAGAGACCAGGTGATAACATTGCTCAAAATGCCAAGGTGCCCAGTCGTCATGCACTGGTATACGTTTCACTGTACGTCTTTACATACACCATGTACATGTAGTCTGGATGTAAGTCTGAAAGGAATATTACTGTGATAAGACTGCAGACCACTATGCAGACTCTTGCATCCTACAGCAAGCCGAGGCAGAAATTTGTGCATGTTCAGTTCTTGCTGTCTAGCCTGAGTTTAGCCTGAGTCTAAATGATCACAGTGTGCACATGTACTAGTACATGTAACTCTGTCATGTGTTCATGAAAATCGGTTGAGAATGTGCTTCCATGTTGCGAAGTGTACGCATATACTTCTATGGCATATGCAACACAGCATGGATGTTGTATCAACCACTTCGTACCGGACCCATTTATCCATGTTGATTCTGTTGGGCCGGGTCAGTTTTTATTTTTTTCTGTTTTCAGAATTCTTTAAAAATTCATAACTTCATTTACTGGATGCTTACACCCACACGAATGACTGTCTGGTGGCTATTCTAATCTGACAGACACATCTATTGATGCCCGAGTATTTCAGCCAGGCCTGCCACCTTGTAAAAAGAGTCCAGATTGTGCGGCATGTGTAATTTTCTTTTGTTCCCGAAACCGGCACAGTGCGCTGCTGACGTCAATAGGGGCCAGATTAGCGTGCGGAGTGCTGGAGCGCTTGTCCCTGGTGATAATCCGCTCCTGATGAATTCCACAAACAGTGGTATAATTTTTCAAAACAATGACAGATTTCCTCTGCTATTGGCAACTGAAAAGAGTTCGAAATTCCCAGCTGCTCGGTCTTTTGTTCCGAGTACATTTTTTTGTAACAAGGTCCAGCTCTTTTGTCCGATTTAGGGGAACCCCGGCAATACGTACAGGGCCAACGTCTCCGAAACTGGGCTCCCCGGCAGCAAGTGGTTACGTTGGCTTGTGTAGTGGCAACTTGTAGAGATGGACAAGTGTACACGTACCATATACATACAGTTAAACACACATCTCTTTTGGGTGGCGTACCATTTGTAAGTGTATCACCCTTGCTTGTTATGCTATATTGTACAAATTTGCATTTAAGGTTTTTTATACTGATGTTTTAAAACCTTTTCTTTTATTTTGAGTCTCTTTCATTATGTTACTCGTAGCTACACTCCGAAGGCTAAGGTGTTTAATTGGGCATTTGCGGGTGTTTGGTGGGTGGCTGTTCTTTTAGGGGTATTGGGTCCTTTTTAGCTTTTTATTGCATAATTTTTAGGCAATTTTATTTCAGTCTTACGGTCATAGTATTTGCGTGGTTTATTTATGTACAGCCTGTTGAGATCTGTTTCATGGTGTAATGTAACATTAAATAGTACTATTATTTTATGTATGCATTCATGAAAGTAGAGAACAGTCATTCAGAACCTGCATTCTTACTGATGTATGCTGCATGTTATTTAAGGTTTTCTATTTAAGCCACGGTGCTGTGTTGTAAACCTCACCTCCCTTTTGTGTTAGGGCCAATGAGATGGCATCAAGTTACCCAGTGGGTGGGTGTCTGTGTTTACATTGTGCAAGGGAGTGATTTCCTACTGGCCTAGGGGGTCCTTGGACTTAGCTGGCCTTGAAATGCCATCCTTGCATGGCCCGGCTGTGTGGGTATTTGTACACACCCAACTGTGTGGGTATTTATACACATGATGACAGAGCGGTAAAGGTCATCCATTGTAGGTTGAGCTGTGGTAGAGAGAGGCTCGCGCGTGTGTGTGTCTGCCCGCAGATTGAGGGCAGTCAGTAGACTCACCGGCCAGACTGCATTCATCGATCCACCAGACGAACTGGGCATGCACAGATGCTGGCAACAGCGCCACTCGCACTCGGCAACACTCTGCCATTCATCTTGGGTATACTCCTGCAGTTTGTGACCCAGGCCACATGTACAGTTTGTACATAGTCCTGTGTCGTGTGTGTGTGTTTCAGTGCAGTATTCCTTTCCCTTTTAGTTTTAGTCTAGGGAAGGACTAATCAGTTGTGTGATTCCAGTAAAATGGTCTGATTTTCTAGGATTACTTTCCATGACTTTGTGCTGCTGTGTGAAGCCTCCTGAATTTGAAACCAACCCGGCTGAGATGTACGTGTACGTGTATGGCTGTGTAGTTCTCTTCCAACGGCCTGCTGCTTGACCCTATGACTCTTGCCCTCAACAAAGCTTGTCCACGCTGCTAGTCAGTTTGCACGTCAGCCAAGCTCAAGCTTTTTTCCATCTCCCATGTTGGATTTATGCGATTTTTGGCGTCAAGATCTCCATATGTGTTTCACCAGTCAGAACCCCCAACTTGGATAACCTCTTTCGGAAATTGGCTGACCAGTTACTGTCAAAGTTTGGTAGGTGTATTCTGTCTCGGTTGGGAATCTCTTACTGTACCTCCTGGCTTGGTCGTGAACATCTCCCCAGTTGGCATCTCAAGCTTACCCTTCAAGTTTGTCTTCCTGCTTGTCTTCTCATATTCGATCAGATGCCTCTAAAGATGCCTGAAGCGCGTAAGTTTCATCATGTTGTTTCTTCTTTTTAGTGAGAAATCAATTACTCAGAATTTAGAAATGTTTCTGATTTTTAAAGAAGGAAGAAGAAATGTGTGAGGTACATGTACATGTACTGTACTTCTCCCCAACTTTGGAGTGATCAGATATTGAAGTACTGGTACATCTTCAAAGCACCTTTAACTTCAGATTTGGACTGGTTGATACTTTATTTGTAAATTTGGAAGTACAGAAATTTTTAATGTGTCTCTGAGATGAGGGTAAAAAAATTTTGAGAGTTAAAAATTCAAAATGAATTGCAAAAGAACTTTTTGTATTAAATGATAGACACAATCATTGAGGAAGTTGTAGCCCATGTGATGATGTGAGGCCAATCAAAACCTTTGATCAGAAACCAGGGTCTGTAGATACGAAACACTCTAGGTCATGCACAGGTACATTTACGTGTATCTTGTGGATGGGGTTGTACCCTAACTTGAACCCCCCAATAAGAATGATGGTGGAACAACCAGCCCTTGCCAGCTGAGGTTGGTTAGCCTCGAAAGGTTAACAGTCTCATAAGGGCACCCTTTTTATATGATTCTCGTATCTTTGTACAATTAAGGGAGGGTCAGTTGGTTGGTCAAAAAAAAAAATCCATGCTGCTGCCATATAGATGAATGAATAAACCAGGCAAAGTACACTGTGCACACTTGGTTTTATATTGAATACCATCAGTGTCTTTTTTTCTAGCTGAGTACAGAGATATTTTTATTTTTACATAACAAAATACCTCATTGGAGTCAGTGTCAAGACGGCGTATGGTAATCATGTGTCCAGTATGTACCATATGTACAGTACACAGTGCCTTTATATTTCGATTTTTCCTATGGTGTTCCCTATATGTAGTACATTGGATGCGGTACGCTACTGCTTGGTCTGGTAATGATGCCGTACCTTGGATTTGAACTGTTGATGCATTGATAGGGGAAATCGTATTGTCCATGTATATTTTCAGGCTTTTTTTGGGTACTGGTCATCACGATGTACTGTTTTTTAGTAGGCAAGCTCCTCTCAGCAGGGTCAGTAGAAAACAGTTTGCTTTTCTTGAGGTTGGGAGCCAACCATAGGGTCAGTCGGAATTTTAAAAGGGTGCCCTTATGGCAAGCTTATCCCCAGTGGTTATGTGTGTGGAAGGCCAGTTCATTCCCCTGAAGTGTAATTGTGGTCTGAATAAAATTTGGTCAAAATCAAGCAGCTGTTTCAATCAGTGACGCTGGTAGCGACAATTTTTCTTTTCTGAAATGAATCAGGAAGGGACATTCAATTCATTAGGATGTACATGTACGCTGTTGATTGAATTATTGGTTGGGGAGACAGAAATTTGGATATTTGGTCTTGCTCTCTGCCAGTGAAATTTCCAATAAAAAGCACTGTATACTTACTGCTGTCCGAACGCATATATGAGAAAATTGATGAGCTTGCTCAGGTGAGACTCTGACCTGTGACCTCCTGCTTTCGTGTGCCAGATTTAGACTTCTGAACCACTTGACCCTTAAGCTTTCAGGGGGTCAGTTGGTTTGTTTGAAACTTTATATTTAAGCAGTTGGCCCAGAAATCATTGACTGTTTCAGTTTGATCTTTTTATTTTCTGAAGTGTAAATTTGTGTATGTCAACCTTGTGACAAAGTACATGTATGCCAGTGAGTTCACCTGTTTGCCCTTTGTGGGGATACTTTGGTCTAACTGTACTTTTGTCATTGATACTGTACTTAGTATGATGCAAACTTCCATAATTAGTGCTACAAAAAGCTCAGAAGAGATGCTAGCTGTTGACATGGAGTTTGCAAAGGGGCAAGGAGGGATAATGGATCGCTTACAAATTTGTTTCCAATTAACCTGTTTCCATCCCTAAGTTCAGGTTAATTATTCACGTGGGCCAGTGCATTGCCACCTCACCACTGGCCTTTGGAACCTTTGCAATGCAGACAGCACGTGCACTCTGGTCAGGCGCTCTGTTTGTTTGCCATGCATGCTGTCAGACCTATCATGTAAAAATGCACATTTTAAATACATTTTTTGTACTGAGAATGACTAAATGCATGAAAATTGTGTATCCTGTATTTATAAAAAAGAATTTCCCACAGCTTTTGTCGACAATAGTAGGACGTGTCAGTAGGCAGAAAGTTACAAAAAGATTTATTGTTCAGTTAAGACCGGTACATGCATTTACCCAGCTGCTTAGCTTGTCAGTTTTTGCTTGGGGAGGGGGGAGATTGTTACCAAAATTAATTTGTGTCTAAAGAAAGACCTACAGTGATTGTATTCCAACATACATGTATGAAAAATGCACCCAAGGGACAAATTTCTTAATTGCATTTCTTCATTTTGGCAGACAATGCAACATTGCTACATGCACATACACATACGTGTAGGTAACAACCTGTTTCTTTCGCAGTATTTCCTTCAAGCCTGCTCTGCACTGTACTTTGGTGGCTAAATTGATTATCTAAATTTTTAAAAGTGAACAGCCTGCACAAGTCTAGTCAGTTTTACATAAACTAATGGGAGAATTCACTATCAAGTTGCATTCCTTTCCAAACACACATTGGGTCGACAAATTTCGCGCACTGTGATTGGCCAACGTGTTGCAAACTCTTGGATGTGCACTATTGTGAAACACCTGGATTGTGTTCGTGTATGTATGGGTCATTTTATAATTGAAGGGTCCAATTTTTGCGTGTGACCCTGTCACATCTGACATATGATTCTGTAAGTTCAGAACATACATGTACATGTATTCTCCAAATTATCAGTACCTGTCAAACAAATAGAAATAGTTTGAAATGAATTTCAATGATATTTCCATGTCAAATTACACAGGTCAGCTGTAGCATGGACACAAAAATGTCACACTTTTGGACCCCGAATTTATAGAATGATCCATATCCTGTTTGATTTGAAGATTATCAATGTGGAATGAATTACCTCTTGCCTCCTCCTCAAGCTCTAGTGTAAATGTACAGGGTACATCACCTGCAGGGGCAGCATGGGGATTCTGGCTGGACAGGGCCGGGCTTTAAATTGCATGGGGAGAAAACGAGAGCAAACTTCCTGTCGACCTTCCCCTCACCAGCTGTAAAGGTTGCACTGACCTACATGTATGTGTACCGTTTGCCTCTCCCCTCCAAAGAGTTAATTGACGTCAGAACGTGTATGCTACAATGTGGTCTCTTGGATAATTGATCAGCGACCTTCTGGTGACATCTTAGGCTTGCATACGTAAATGTGCAGAGAAAGTGAGATGGTTGAATGTTGTCCCGTGGTAGCATATTGGACATTTATGCCAGGAGGACCAGGAAGTGGTTGATGTCCTTTGGCCAGCAGTTCCGTAATGCCCATGACGTGCTCCTTCAAGAATATTCTTCAGAATGAACACTCATGCGTCAGTGTGTTTTTGCATGAATTACCCACAAGAATGGAGTGTATTCTGTATGAATTTGTGATGCATAAACGTAGGTACATGTACATTGTACCTGTGCAGTGTAGGATAACGTACTTGTACCGGGGTACCTTTTACGGTATATACCGTACATACACCTGTATTGTACAATATATCGTCATGCACATTTACATACAATGCTCATTTTAAACAATGATGTATCATACCGGTGTGTAAAGATGGACAGTGCACATGTACATGTATGTGTACATTTGTATACCGGTATATTCCTTAAAATGTGTATGGACACAACTAATTGAGTTTCCTTGAGGGTATTTGCACGCACACTCTTGCCAAATTAGGCAGAAAATGTACGTGTGCTGGTACAAGTTCATTTAGACAAGTTGTTCATTTAAAGGGGAAATGCATGCAGCTGTGGTTGTACATTAAAAATGAATTGATGGAATTTTCATACAAAGCTGCTGAAATTTGGGCATATTTTCTGAAGTAAAAGTGGAAATTACTCTTCGGGGGCAACTGTTGAATGTAATGGTACACATGTAGGTATTCATGTTATACATGTACAGGCACCAGTAAGTTCACCACTACATGTACATGTACAGGCACCAGTAAGTACACCACTATACGTACATGTACAGTGTACATGTACATGTACAGGCACCAGTAAGTATACCATTACATGTACATATACAGGCACCAGTAAGTACACCACTACATGTACATGTACAGGCACCAGTAAGTACACCACTATACGTACATGTACAGTGTACATGTACATGTACATGTACAGGCACCAGTAAGTATACCATTACATGTACATGTACAGGCACCAGTAAGTACACCACTATACGTACATGTACAGTGTACATGTACATGTACATGTACAGGCACCAGTAAGTACACCACTATACGTACATGTACAGTGTACATGTACATGTACATGTACAGGCACCAGTAAGTATACCATTACATGTACATGTACAGGCACCAGTGAGTATACCATTACATGTACATGTACATGTACAGGCACCAGTAAGTACACCACTAGACGTACATGTACAT